TAGATTTTAATCTCATATGTTCTCTTAAATCCTATCCTGACTTTAAATGTCTCGATTAACCGTACTACTAAACGTATGGCACGATGACCATTCACTGGTTAGAAGATCAATTTTGTGGTGTTGTCTTTGCAATACCTTTGGAGGTTTCTTGCGCTGATTGTTTGTGCTTGCACGCATCTAGTTTTCCTCGGGTACCCAGTATTCAGATATATCTTTGAAAAACTGTGTTGCAGTTTCTGCTGTTTTTTGGTACTAACATAGTTGTTTGGCTATTAGAACATCTCTCTGCTGCTACAAGGTTTGGAGAATCTCTTTTCAAATCGTCTGGAATCGGCTCCGCAAAATCCACATCTACCAATTTTTTTTAGTCCACTACCTTATCTAGATCAAAATGGTGCTTTTTCTCTCAATGGTTTTTAGATTTTACTTTGCTTCCTACCACCTCAGCATTTTTGCCTAGTAGCTACGACAAATTTCAGAAAATCATATGGCCTCCACTATGTGTAACTTGGAATTCGTTCCCGGATGGATTAGATGAATGCTCTTTAGGAATGCTTCCCTTAGGTGGGTAGGTATTGCCGCTTTATTGTCATCGAGCAAACTCGATATCGTACACCTAGTCAAACCCGAACATTTTAGAAGTATGCTTCATAGGACCGTTGCTTGTGAATTTGTCGTTTAAAAATCCGTTGATTCCAAAGCTTTGTCCGTTTGTGAGCTGCTGATTTGAACATTCCATTCGGACATTGATGTGCTTTTCCTGTGCCACTGATATTGTGTTTGGCTCATTGTCGTCAAAACCAAATACAACATTTTTTGTTTGTTTTTGCTCGTTCCAGCTTTTTTGTCTTTTTTAGTATTCTTTTTGGATTTCTATCCCTGTTGTATCCGTTTTTAGTTTTTACCCATGTAGAAGAAATCAACTGGATGTGGAATCATTGTTTCATGTTCACCTAGGCATTACTTTGTACTCTAGATGTAGAGTGGTTTCTGTTGTGTCTGCTCCTTCACCACTGTGGATGTTTTAGCTTCTCTTTCCTTTTGTTAAATTCCTTCTTTTCTTGTTAGACTACTAAGTCCTTTGCTACTTTTAGCGCCAGTTTGTGGCAGCTTTCTCTACTTCTTTAATGCTCGGGTAAATTTTAGATGTTTTTTTTCCCTTGTTGTCTTCTCTTTCGATGTTATTTGATTGTCTCTTGTAAGTTTTTGTTATGCTTAAGGAATGAAAACACAAAATTGGTATTGAGATTTTTATGAAAAAGTCGATTTATCTAAGCTGTTTTTTTTCTCTAAAATTCAGTTAAAATTCAATCCACCAAATTCTTTCTCAATCAACTTTTTAATGCTCTGCCCGAATAAGTTTTTCAAATTTTTTTTTCTAAAGATAGTCTTTGAATTGTTTGATTGACAAATTACTAAGAACTAAAGTTTGTTTCTAGATTAATTTCCTCTGTAGGTATTTAGACAAGATGAAACTTACAAGATGAGCGTATCGAAAATTCAATGGAGTATTGCTCCTGTTCCGACCCTAGTCCAATGTTGACGAATCGCACACCACTCACTTTTATAAAGTTTGATCGAAGTGTCTTTTTTCGGTAAAAACCGCCACCAACTTGATGATTTTCTTGGCTGTTTAGTCCTCACACTCGTCGTTTCCACCCATGTAAAGATATTACTTTCAATGTTTTTATAGCAGTTGTCTGAGTTGTGCTGTTTCAGTCGCTAATTTTGGAATAAATTTTGTTCTATGGTTTAGTGATCCCATGAACCTTTTTAGTTGTAAATACGTTTTAGGATGTTTAAGAACGCTGGAATGGTACGACCTATTCGCCTTCCCAATTACGAGAATACAATCGCATTGTATTCTGGTTGTCCCTTTCAATAGAATTTGTGCGTCAACGTACTTCAGTGTTGAAAAAGCTTTCCTTTTTCCCGCTGTCTTGATTGCCTGGGCGACGTTTTTTAATGAGGATTCAAAGATTGGCATTTTGTATTTGAATTTATGTGTTATATTGCTTTTTTTTTTGAGTCTAGGGTTAGTTTAGTCGATTGACCTTCCTTCATTGTTGTCACAATGTGGCTGATAATTTGTTTGTCGCTACAATTGTCTAATTTTTGACGTGTTCCTGGTCGATATATTTTTCTTGTTCGACCCATTTTTTGGAGGTTTTGGAAGTCTTGAAGGTGGTATCAAATTCTTCTTGCTTTGACATCACCTAGAATTTTCTTTTGCGTAGTATTTCCCATTCGTTTGCCAGTGTGAAATTTGCAAACGCTACTGGATCTACGTTGTCGTTTTGAACTTAATTCAACTTAGTTGTGCAGCAGAGTTTTCGGAAGAGACCTCTTCTACCGCTATTTGTCTATGATGGACAGACTTGAAGGTGGCCTGGTGAGAATCGCTACACCATTAACCGCACTGCTTGTTCTGTGTTCGATTTTTTGACCTTGATGTTTTGTCTGTTGGTTGTGGTATCTATGTTGATTTTTTTTCCTCTTCCCCAGCCGAGGCCGAAAAACGTTTTGTTTTCTTTGGTTTACGAATCTCATTGTATCTTGTTTAATGATAAAGGCTTTTCATGATGATTATAGGTGTCTTTGACAATGATGTTTTTGTTTTATTGTGTGCAATCGCTTTTTCTCTCTTTATTGAATAGTCGTATGATTCTCTTTGTGTCCTTCTTTTTGCCAGTACTTCTTCCGATATCTTCTCGTTTATCAATTGTGCTGTCAAAATATTATGTACCCATTCCTCCTCACAGGCCCCACAGTCCGCCTTGAAAGCTAGCTCCACTAGTTCCGAGTGAAACTGTTCTAGTGGTTCTCTCGTGTCCGCCCCATCCCATGCTAATGAGCAGCATAATGCGACTAGTTTTCTAGTTTCATTCTTTTGTTTTTAAATTACTATTTTTTCATTCCTGCGTTCGCGGTTTCTTCTTTGGAAGCTTGCCTCATTTGTATTTGATTTTGCCAGGGGTGGAAAAGCTGGTCTGTTTGGTGGCTTCGGTCGATCTCTCAGTCAAAGCTTGCCATAGATAAGGCTTTCAACCCTTCACTGGGGTCCGAGAAGGTCACTTGATTACTTTGGCTTTCAAGGCCCAACACAAAACATTACATCAATTACTTGGATGTACCCGCACCGGTCCCATGGATAATAATCGATTGTATTGAATTTTTGTGGTCTGTCTCAATAAATTTCGATAATAATCGATTATAATCGATTACATTTGGATTAAAATCCATTATTTTTTATATCAATATAATCCATTATAATCGGTTATAATCAATTAAAAAAGGATTATGTTTCGTATATTTTTTATGCCAAAATAATCGCTTATAATCGGTTATGATCCATTAAAAATGAATTATGTTTCGTATATCTTTTATGCCAATATAATCGCTTATAATCGGTTATAATCAATTATAATGGATTTTTTCGAGAGGTTAGTCATGAAATTTACAAGTTTTTTTCAAAGTTATCGCATTTCCTGTTTAGTGCAGTTGCTTTGTTAGGTTTCATATCATAAAATGTTGCACTTTTCAATTTTTATATTTTTGTCTTGTATACCCCGTTTAGCACAACCGCCATTCCCCCCTTTATGGAGGGTTCTTTATCGGTAGTTTGGGTAAGGGTTTTATGATTTTTTACAACCCCCCCCCCCCCCACAGTTACCCCCCCCCCCCCCAGCAGTTTACCCTACCAAGCCCCCCCCCGCCCACAGTGTATCCCTCCTCAAATTAACCCCCCATCTTAGTTTTACCCCCTTCCCCGTTTATTGAACGTGGGGGGTGTAAAAAATGTGGGCGGGAGGGTAACCTGAACAATTGAATATACTCCCTCCCACGTCCCCGTTGAAAATGGTAAACAAAAAACATGGGGGTGGGCGTAGGGATAAACGTAGGGGAAAGGGAGGGGGGTTTGGGCAAACGCGGATTAGGGCAAAGTGGGGAGGGGGTTAATTCGATTAGGTTTAGATTGCGAGTAGGCCGTGAGTTACAGAGAATTGTTGCAAGTTTGGCAAATGATTTTGCAAAAAAAATGTATAAAATAATAATCCGTGATAATCAACTACAATGGATTTTAACTGGATTATAATCTATTATAATGGGTTTTGAATGGTTTATAATTCATTGAAATGGATTTTAATGGATTGTGTTTTACAAAAATAATTTATAATAATGACAATATAATCGATTTCGTGGTCTTAATTTGCTACAATAATGGATTTTAATGACAACATATCAGACAACAATTTTCCAATTTTATCTATTATTATCCATGGAACTCCGGTGCGGGTGCAATACAAAAAATTACAAGACTGCTCGAATGTTCCGACTGCCTTTTAACGTTTATAGAGCAGTAATAACATAAATATCATTAACAAATTAAATGTAATAAAAAAGATGAAACATTTTTTTTTAATTTGAATTTTTTTCAATGAAAATTATCCCCCTACGCCATATAAACTACATAAGATTATATTTTGCTCCTTGCAACAAATCAATTGTGGCAAATAAGCTATTTTCGACCAGTTTGGAACGATTTCTTGACGGGTTAATTAGCTCGAAAAATATAGCGCGTTAATTGTCCCAAATTGGCCAAAATGGCAAACCCCCATAACTTTACGAACAATGATCACAGGTGAAAAATCTTTTCAAATTTAAGCTCAAAACAACAATACTTTTTGAATGATAAAAAAAGATTTTTGTCAAAAATGGCTAGTTAAAAATTCGAAATTTGTCTGAAGAAAAAAAACCCATCCCGAGCTCAAATAGTCCTTTACTTTCGTATGGAAAGTCGGAACAATAAAATATATAAAAATTGCAACGACATGTCTGGATACGATGTATAACAGGGAAAAAATTGTTAAAAATCCCATATTCTTTTTCAATCTTATTTTCAGAACATGGAATAACATTGGGAATTCAAGTGTTTGTTTAAATTGGGCTCCGCCTTTATTTAGAGTGATTTTTAGGATTTTCAAGCGATGTATCGAAGGCACAACTTTTTCTACGGACGGGACGGGTGCTGTTCGGGACAATGCGACTACTATAGACAACATGGCTACGCCAGAATGATGTTTACACTCCCAGATTATATTTCAAGGCTAACAGACTACTCGCATACAACAGGCATACAAATTAGATCCATTTCATTTCAGAAAATTTGATGAAAATTATCAAAATGAAACGGCAGAAAAATAGCCTAGTCATTACTCCGTGTAAAAAAACGGTTATTTGAAGTAGTTATTAGAAACATAACTGTCCAACTTTTCGTATACATTTTTGGTCAATTATATTCCTATTCAACAAGGATTTGAGTTTTGCTAAATTGTGAATTCCAGTTAATTAAATTATAACTCCACCGTAAATGATTGAAAATTTTTTATTACTTGAGGTGTATATAGTTTTTTACTTTTAGCTGCGAGAATTATTGGGAAAATGCATAAAAATAGTAATAAAAGTACCCCAGACCAAAAACTTAGCGAAAAAAAATTGTTTTAGAATTGTGATCAAAAATTGTGCCAAAAATGAAATCGGTCTTATCCAGGCAAAGAACTCAACTTAATCCGAGCTTTCTTCCTCCCTCGGTGCAGAGTGAACGTCATCACTAAAGTTGGGTTTGGATCTGGTTTTCTACAGAGAGAGCCTCACCCTTATATCAGTAGAGTTCCCTTGAACGGCTTCCCATACGTTTTAGGTCACTCTTTTCCGAATTGCACCCCCTCCCCCACCTTTACACTCTTCTCTCCCCCCCCACCACCTTTACTTTTAAAGTTCAAACTAGCTAGCTCTATTTAGCACATCTGGTGCAATATTGATGGCCAAAATCTGATCATGCCGAGGAATTTAATACCATCTTAAAGATAACAAGACTGCTCGTATCAGGGCGAGGCCCTGAATGTTCCGACTGCCTTTTAAGGTCTATGAAGCAGTAAAAACATGAAAAATTAAATGTAAGTAAATAAAATATATATCTTTTTAAATTTGAGATTTTTGCCAAACTAATCCCCCCACACGCCATATAAAGTACAAAGTGATAAGTTTCGCTCCTAGTAAAAAGTCGATTATGGCAAATAAGCTTCTCTCATCCAATTTGGAACGATTTCTAGGACAGATTGGTTTTCCGCTTACGCGTTAATATCGCGCGTTAATCGTCCCAAATTTGCCGAAATGGCAATCTTCAAACCCCCATAACTTTACAAAAATAATCAAAAAAAGAAATGTTTTTTTTTCAAACTTAAGCTCAGGACAACAATACTCATTGAATGTCAAAATTCAGTCAAAAATGGTTAGTTAAAAAGTCGAATTTTGTCTGAAGAAAAAAACCCACCCGAGCACAAATATTCCGTTACTTTTGTTACAAAAGTTGGAACAAAAATTTCTTATGAAAAATGTTATGAGTAGATTATAGATTTAATAAGAAACATGGGTTTTCCAGCCAAACAATATTTCTATCTTAGAGCTTAATTTTGAATTAATCAGCGTCTATACCAGAGTATCTAAACCGACCACTATTCAAAGCTCATTGCGCAGAAGGAACGAACAGGGAGCTATTAAAGACAACAAAAGTGTCAATGTTTCAATTTTGGTCTTGTTGTTCAGACCATTGAAAATGGGGAGGAACTTTGTATTCGGGTGTGTTTTAGTTTTTCTGCTTTTTCTTTTCCACGCAAAATCAGGTACCACAAAAAATGATCGGACTGGATTGAGTGATATATCATATAAAAGCACTTCTAGTCGTGATTCGAGCTACTTTCCGCAATTTTGAATTTTTTTGTACATTGTCGAGAAGATTTGGTTGGAAGTTTTTGACTTTTGGTCTAGTTTCGAGCTAATAAGGTGACCGTATCTGCTTATAGGAGCCTATTTGAGCTTAATTTCAGCCGCGTAAACTTGACTTTATTCAAGTAAAGATAGTTTTATGAAATTTTATTTCATTTTTGGGAATGAAAAACATGAAAAGGAAACATGAAATAAAAACATGAAGTTTTTTTTAGTTTTTCTGGTATTTTTCCTGCAAAAAAGTTTTTCAACTGACCTTTTTTACTATGAGATTCAAATATGCCTAAATTATAATTTTTCTTTATCATTTTTTTATCACAACATGCAGAAAAAATTGACACCAATGTGTAAAAAAACTATTGCTGTTAGCAGTGAGAAAATTATACATTGAAACAAGATACATATTGGGCATTGATCGCACACTCTTCTTTTGCTTCATCATCAAGTTCGATTTGATGGTAAGTGTCTGAGAAGTCAGCTTTTTCGAAGAACTGGGCTCCAGACAAATAATGGAAAATTGTCTTCATGTCGAGTAATGGGTAGTCTTTGACCCTTACTACGCCGTTGAGGTGAACTTTTTAGTCGGCACAAAGTATGAGGTCACCATTTTCTTCTGTGCTACACGACTGGTGATAAACTGGTATCTCTTCTGAACTTCACAGGCTGGTAGTTGGTCTTCAGGTTTCAGTTCAACATGAGCCTTGTATCGTTTGACTGTCGGCAATGCTCGGAGAGACCATGTATCAGGTACTGGCTTGGCTAGAGATCGCGTCCAAGGAGACCAAATCCGATCGAACACCTGCCCGGGCTAGCTTTGAATAGATTCAACCATTTCATGTCAGGTCAAAAATTCCTTTGAAGTAGAGTTGGTATCCCTTGTATGCTTCTAGAGTCAGAGCGTTTCCATCTAGAATAAGTCTTGCATGCTTCTACCAGATGCTCGACGATATCACTGGTGAATCAGCACCTGTGTTCACTTGCACTTTCATCACAGTTTCATCAATGACGACACTATTTTCCGATGCGGCGGTCATGCCGACGAGACGTGATGCAATAAAAAACACTTCTAGTTTAGTGTCATTCTCAGATCTTTCCAATTCCTCCTCTGGGAACGAACCCCCGTTAGCATGATGTCTCACTCTCTCATTTAATCTAATGTTACCTTTGTTGTTGTTGCTTAAATTACTTTGTAACTTTTTTGCAAAGTGTCCTATCTTACCGCCATTAGTTACTTTTCTTACAAAATGAAAAACAAGACATATCCCCGTGCGTTTCTCCTCCGCAGTTTGGACATTCCGATTTATTTCCATTGTTTACTTCATGATCAGTTACTGTTTTTCTGATGGTTAACATAGAATTGTATGCAATTTTTCCTTTAATTTTAATCTCGGAGGTCCCAGCAAAATGATGAGCTTGACCGCTAAGATGTAATACTGTTTTTTATATCAGTCAGACTTAAGTCTCTTTTATTTGTACTTGCCTCAATTAACTTGAGTTTGGAGTCTATTGATCTTAGTCCTGAGATGAACTTCAATCGTATCATCTCGTCTTCCGCAACAGCGGTGTTATTAAGTTCAGAAAACTTACAAAAGTCTTCCGAGAAAATCACAGCCAGACTCTCCTTGATTCTGAACTGTCGATAGGAGCTCGGCTTGTTCAGCAACGACTATTTTTTCTCTTAATTTGCAGTAGTCTCGTGACACAATGTGGATCTCACTGAACGTCTTGTTGCCGACGTTTCGGCAAAACAAGACTCCTCGACTTCAAAATGGCTTGCACTCCACGTTGACTCCACAGACAATTCGTCCGTTGAAGGTCTGCGAGATTGGTTCTAACTGCAGCCTTGTCGACTTTCATCTCTGAGCATGCTCTCTCAAGGAAAGCAATCAGGCAAGCAATTGCCTCTTCAAGTTTTGAAAAATCGATAGAGTTATTGTGGTTAATCACTTCAAATTTCCAATCTGTACACCGCTGTTGTGAATCGATGCAAGGCAAGATATTTTCGATGAAGACTTTATAGAGATCAATTTTGTTGATAAAAAAATGGTGGTATTTATAGTTGTTATCAGTAGGAAAATGTGCATAAAAAGAAGGTAATTCATTGAGGATAACTGTCATTTTCGTTATGTGTACTCATGCTCAGTAACTTTTCACCAAGAACTTTTTCCATAAATAAAGCATCGCAGTTAGGCATAGTAATGATTATTACCACGAGAATTTTTCTTGGTTGACATATCTTGACAATTGGTTAAACTCAACTAATTTTAAAAAAAATATCTATAAAAATAGAATCGCTTCTGAACCCTTTTAATGAGCTTCAACTGATCACCTAAGTTACAATTTTTATTCTCTTTCAGTTTCCTACAAAATTTTTAAGTTCGATGGTTTCTCCGTTTATCACACAATTTAAAAAATAATCACCATTTTTGGGATTTAGCTTTTACAGCTTGCTACCAGTGTAAGAAAAATAAGTTTGTGCATTGTTTCCCATAAAAAGTTTATTGTTGATGTAAGTTAGTTAATTCAGTTTTTTCTCGAGATAAAATTGGAAAATCAATGAATTGAAAAGAACGAAAATTATTGCTAAGTTTTATGAACCGCTGACTTGAACTGAGAAATGAGATACTCCTCTCAAAGTATAAGTAACAGGACAGGTAGCAGACTTGGGTGAGGGGGGGGGGGGGGGGGGGGTAAAGTGACGGATAGAATAAAGAAACAAAAATTCATAAAAGTACCTAAAAACTTTATATTTTTTCAACATTTTTTCAGTTTTTTTAATCCAAAAAACATGTGATCGACGGTAGGTTGCAATCGGAACTTCCAGGATTTGTCTGATATACGAACAGTCTTGTGTAATTATCTATTTTGGTCTAGCGAAAGTTTGCTGAGGCTTGTATGAGTCGATATCTTTGTTCAGCGTACTTCGATTCATGAATAAACTATACAAAACTGCTCGTATCACAGCAAAGACCAGAAAATTTTGACTGCCATTTGAGTTCTATGGTGTATTTCTTACATCAAAAAACTGATCGATTGCACAAAAAAGCTAAATTTTCTTTTTTTATTATCGCGATTTTGCTAACTATTCCTCTTGGCGCTATGTAAAGTGCAAATGGACATTTTGTGCATTTAGCAAAATTTTAAATAGATTAACTTCCTGCCTCGATTCCTTTTTTTGAATTTTTTTCTTCACAAATGGAGTTTTAGCGCATCCTATCCTTATAATCAGACCAAATGACTTGACCCAACTCAGTTTTCGTCGAAAAAGTTTCCGTGAAAAATTTCAGCTACAAAGTCGAAAATTGACTGAATAGAGAAACAACCCCGGAAAGAAACATGAGTATTCTGCACTTTCAACAAAAAACCTTCGCTTACACGTTAAAGGCATGAAATAAATCACGAGTCAAATATTTGAACTTGACCAAATTGGGATTGTTTTACATCCCTAAGAATTTATGAATTTTTTTAAACTTAAACTCCTATTCCTGTTTTTTTTTCCTACAGTATACAATTTTAAAAAAAATTCTTTTTTTTTTCGACTAAAGTCGAAAAAATAAATTCCCGTTTACGCTTTGATAAATTGAATTAAATCGCGCGTTAGGTATTACAAATGGCTATATTGGCAATCTTTAAACCCCAGATAGTCTTAAGATTTAACGAAAATTGTCCACAATGGAACTTTTTACTGTTTATGCTCCCGGCAACAGGCGGTATAAATATTTACACATTTTTTTGAAATTCGGAACAATAAATTGCATGAATTTTAGAAAAAATTGCATATGTTCGGCAATAATTTTATGTTACATAGAAAAAAAATATATGACACAACCGAACTGAAATGAAGTTATTATCGGAGTTGCCTTGTTGATGGCACACAAATATATTGCATTGTTCATTCCGACTAATGAAACACAATCGACAAAATGAGTTCAGCGAACTTTTGTAAAAGTTTTGAGTAGAAGTAGGCAAACTGGAAACATATTATAGGTCTGGACGATCCAAGATTGAGCGTGAACATTCCTTTCGATAACCCGGAGGATTTTTTGACATTCAAATGGTTCAAGTACAATGTAATATGTCGAGAGCAATACTGGATTTGCAGTCAAGACATTGGGGAGTCAAGCGGATCCAGGGACCAGTTTCCTCTCCCCCCATACCGGTCTGCAAGTCATCACATGGAGTTCAAAAAACGAAGACTTCAAAATTTTATGACTCATTCAACGAAGAAACAAAAACTCAGATGGAATCGCTGCAGACAGAGACTATGAAAAATCAAAGTTTTGTTAAAGTTATTTTCTCTTTCTTCTGTTACAGATCCTGCAAACTATTAAACTACTACTCGAAAAAACCTTCTAAAGTGGGGGCATATTTTCTTGTTATTGGGCTGAGAGGGTTGAAAAATAATTTCATTTCTGATGGGTTATGAGAAAAAACGCAGCTTTTTTTATTATAGACTCTGCTAGTTACATGTTCAAAACGTCGACAAAAAAGAATTGTGAAAAGTAACATCAGGGCTTATATTAGTTTGCATAGAATGTGAAATATTGTGAAATCTTGCGAAATGTCAGGAAATCTCTGCGTATATCTAAAATTTGGTTTAATTAAAAATGGCTTAAGGCTAATTTTAGAGCGTAGTCAAATATTGCAGAAAAACTCTGCAATTCGGTTTAAACTGGTTTTTCTCGCGTCTGAAATTATCCGAGGCAATCGGCTTAAAATTAGTGTTTTACTTCACCAATACGATGATTAGAGATCTCTTTTTTGATAGAAAAAGGACATTTAATGTCACAATTCTAGCTTTTCTGCTTTCTGATTATTTTTTTAGATAGTAATTTTACTTTCATTCTTGTTTCGGATTGCTTTTCAACATAAAATGGACTATTTTCATTTCCTTTTTTTCTTTTATGGTAATTCTGGGTGTAAACTTTTTGTCCAAAAACTGGGACAAAAATTGATTTTTGCAAAACTTGAGAACAAAGGGCTCGGGTTATAAAATCATTAGACTATTGATTGAAATAAGACTCTTTTTTGAATTTATTTCAACAAGTTTTCCCAAAAATTAATTTATGATATAATTTTTCTTTTCATTTTTACTGTAACTTTCGTTTTAAATGTGTGCACATTTTTATTTCTTCGTTCTACGGAAAAGCATATGAGCATCAATTACATCATACCAATTGCTTCGTAAGTGTGGCAAATATTTGTACCAAATCCATACCAAAATGAGAATGGAGAAGTCCACGTATAGAAAACTATCACTAAAGGCCGATACAATCAGAAAAAAATTAGTTATGAGTTACTCAAACTAATACCGTGGAAGAAGGAAAGAGTTGACAAGGGAAAGTTCTCGAATCAACGATTGGAAACTAGACCATGGGAGTTTCTATGAAAACTGTATGTACCAAATAGACACAAAAAGTCATGTTTTGCAGGCATTTTATCTGGTAAAATATATATTTGAGCACAGACACAAGTTTGCAAACAAAAAAGAGATACGGAAGTATTTAATTCAAAATTTTTTTTTAATGGAAAAATGCATAACATATATTTTTCATATATGAAATTGTATAATAGGCAATTGTATGTTAAAAAATTTGTCTTTGATACCAAACTTACTTTCATGTAAACATAAATGCCACCCACTTGTGTTGTTCGAGTTTTGATTCAGCTTATAATATTTTTCGGAAAAAGAACTTTAGATTGAAAAAACTTGTCGTACAATTTTTTCTATGAAAATTGTGTGTTATGCATTTTTTCCATGAATTTCATATATGAAATTGTATAATAGACATTTTCCTTGTATGGACGTCAACCCCGGGAGAATACAAATAAAGAAATAATTTAACTGAGCTGTTAAGTAAATCATTTTGACGCTAGAAAATTTTCAAAGTCCATCAAAATAGGTTTTGCTCATCAAAAGCAACCCGGGTTGACCAAAAATGCTTATCAATCAATTTTCATAAATGGATTTTTTTTGTCATACAATTCCATACATTTCTGTACGTACAGAAATTGTATGAAATCTGCATAATAAACATTTTCCCATAAATGGAAAATGTATGACAAACAGTTTTTGGAAAAAAAAACTTTTTCAAACGAGGCACAAATTACATTAAAGCCCATCTAATAAGCCGTGCAATCTCTGAATAGAGAAGAAAATCTGATAAAAGAAATTTTTTTTTGAAGTTACAACCTCAGTTTCTGAGTTTTCTGCAGGAAATCTTCTCAACTCTTCAGATAGCAGCAGGGTCATTATCTGATCCTAAGGGGGCAATACTGGAGAGGGGTTACCTCAAAAAAAATTTAAAAAACATATAATTTTTGTTAAAAAAAACCTTTGTATCTGCGTGAACTATCTCCGGCAAACCTCCTGCAGTTCGGTAATCACATCGTAAATCCACTAGTTCTGACATCCACAAAAGTAATTCCTCTATGAATAACATTATAGAAAATATAATTAACAAACCTGCAGAAAAAAACCTGATATATAGGGCAGAACATTTTTTGAAGCTATATTTCAGGCCAAATCAAGCCTCCAAAACTGACCTTTTGAATTTTTTCAGCTAAAAATATTGCTGTTAACGCAATTCCATAACAGTACTGAATTCGTGTCAATCAATTGCAACGTTTATCTTCCGGATATTTTTATCCCTGAAAAATTTTTGCAAACTTTTTTTTTGGGGTAGGCAAACACAAAAAGTGCACACCCAAAGCGGTCTGTCGAAATGACTGTTTAGGAAAAACTTAGTTTTTTTTGTTTTTGATAGTTTTCATGCATCGAATTAAGCTCTGTAACTCGAATTACGCGTAGAATAGTATAATTCAGCAGAAGAATAGACCATTTCAACCGTATAACTATGAAAAAATAAAATCACTTGCTCTAAACATTGAAAAAAACCTAAAAAATTGGGTTGTACTGCGCCCAACTAACCATTCTGCAACTTCAATCATTACTCTGCTAACGATCAACAAATTTAGAAAAAGTTATGCCTCAATTTCACAAGAGTTGTATGAAAACAAAAAAATTCGGGCACAATTTGAAGAAATTATTGATGAAAATAATCGACACAAGAAAAAAATATCGAAATAAACACGCCAAAATGAGGAGGTTAAAGGCTTCAATTCGAAATCTGAAGCAATGAACAGCGTGTGAGGAGCAACGCAAGTGTCTTTGTAATTAAGAATAGGGCAAGAGCCTGAAAAAAAAATTAAAAAAAAAACAAAGAAGCCAATCTTTCAGCGAGCCAGAAAACCGGAAAAACTTTTATTTTTCATTTTAAATTTGTTAGATTTGGTTATCCGCGCAGTGTTACGCAATGTGTATCAGTGTATCAGTGTATCATTTATATTTTTTTGTTTTTTGACTCCAAAAAATCAGATTTTCGGGAAAAAATTTTGAGTTTTCATAACTCCGTAACGCAAAAACTGCGACGAGAAAGGAATTTGAAAAATTGGGTTCTCTTTTCTGTAAAGTTCATAGCTTCACTATCCCTGAGTCTCAGAATTTATTAGCATCAGTTTTTAGGCCTTTTAAAGTTCTCCCAATTGCCAAAAAAAGCAGTTAAAAATTTGCAGTAATTTTTGATATTAACGGCAGAACATTTTTTAACGCAAGTTTTCATGCCAAATATTTCGCAATATTTCCTTCTCTTAACGCAATATTTCCACCGTTTTTAAGGACTCATACGTTTCATAGGTTTTTTTGAAGAAAATATGGAATTTATGTGCTCGGGATGTTCTTTTTCTCCAGATAAAGTTCGACTTTTTATCTAGCTATTTTAAACTGGAATAAAATTGTTTTTCTTTATCTGCCACGGTACCCAGCAGATAATTTTTTTCAAACAAAAATCGATGGGTTAGACGGTATTAATAATGATCATCAAAGTGAATTTAGTGAAACTTGAAAAAAACTTGAATTACGTGTAGAATAGTATAATTCAGCAGAAGAATAGACCATTTCAACCGTATAACTATGAAAAAATAAAATCACTTGCTCTAAACATTGAAAAAAACCTAAAAAATTGGGTTGTAATGCGCCCAACTAACCATTCTGCAACTTCAATCATTACTCTGCTAACGATCAACAAATTTAGAAAAAGTTATGCCTCAATTTCACCAGAGTTGTATGAAAACAAAAAAATTCGGGCACAATTTAAAGAAATTATTGATGAAAATAATCGACACAAGAAAAAAATATCGAAATAAACACGCCAAAATGAGGAAGTTAAAGGCTTCAATTCAAAATTTGAAGCAATGAACAGCGTGTGAGGAGCAACGCAAGTGTCTTTGTAATTAAGAATAGGGCAAGAGCCTGAAAAAAAACTTAAAAAAAAAACAAAGAAGCCAATCTTTCAGCGAGCCAGAAAACCGGAAAAAAATTCTTTTTTTCATTTTAAATTTGTTAGATTTGGTTATCCGCGCAGTCTTACGCAATGTGTATCAGTGTATCAGTGTATCAGTTATATTTTTTTGTTTTTTGACTCCAAAAAATCAGATTTTCGGGAAAAAATTTTGAGTTTTCATAACTCCGTAACGCAAAAACTGCGACGAGACAGGAATTTGAAAAATTGGGTTCTCTTTTCTGTAAAGTTCATAGCTTCACTATCCCTGAGCCTCAGATTTTATTAGCATCAGTTTTTAGGCCTTTTAAAGTTCTCCCAATTGCCAAAAAAAGCAGTTAAAAATTTGCAGTAATTTTTGATATAAACGGCAGAACATTTTTTAACGCAAGTTTTCATGCCAAATATTTCGCAATATTTCCTTCTCTTAACGCAATATTTCCACCGTTTTTAAGGACCCATACGGTTCATAGGTTTTTCCGAAGAAAATATGGAATTTATGTGCTCGGGATGTTCTTTTTCTCCAGATAAAGTTCGACTTTTTATCTAGCTATTTTAAACTGGAATAAAATTGTTTTTCTTTATCTGCCACGGTACCCAGCAGATAATTTTTTTTTCAAACAAAAATCGATGGGTTAGACGGTATTAATAATGATCATCAAAGTGAATTTAGTGAAACTTGAAAAAAACTTCGATAGATTCAAAAATTTGTAGAAATTGAAAAAACAATGAAAAATTGAAATAGTACTTTCGGTTTCTCTCACTACATATCAAGCAGAGTTTTTAAAAATTATTGCAAAACTCACAGATATAAAATTTGGGTATGGAATTGAAAATGTAAATTTTGTGCGCTCAAAAGAAAAAAATCTTCAAAATTTTTTTTTTTTTCATTTTTGATTTTTTTTCTTGGAAAACGATTAAATTACATAATTACATGGCTTGATTACCTATCTGCAATTCCTAAAAACGCTTAAGGTTGACAAATTCCAGAAAAAGTTGCATGCGTCAAAGCTTTTTTGAGAAAAAAAAATTAAATGA